AGACATTAAATCCCTGACCCCCCCCTCCCAGCCACCGTTGCATATCCATGCGCAGAGTCATTCAAGGCCTCCCCTCTCACGCCCCTCCCTCACGAAAACCCCCCTTTTCAGAAACACACTCAACATACGCATCTCAAGATGGGTAAAAGCCCCAGCCCCCCCTGGCTAACGGGAAGGGAACAACCACACACCCCCTCTACTTAGCCAGTCACAACCCGATCCCCATATAAATCAGAATACCCTCTCAGTTGCAACCGTTGCAACTCCTCACAACCGTCGTAAACGGATAAATTGCCACCACGTGCCATAACTTGGCTAACAACAGGACATTCGTGACTATAAACCCATTGATGCAGACGATATATTGCCTGCTGCCCCTCAAAGCCATCCCAATCTTTTCAAACTCCATCCATGGGTGCGCCTCGAATTTTGCCTCCTTGGTGCATCCCTTATCATCCGCATGTACACTACACCACATATCAACAGCTGATCTACCACACGGCCACCATCACCCTCAACAGTCTCACCATTAAGTACACTTCCCCTAGATCCCAAATACTTGTACATTTACAACATTAATTTTCATCCCTGTAGCCTCAACCAAAAACGTTCCTATCAACCTTTCTACCTTATGTAAATCTCCTCTCACATCCCTCACCAAGAGACTTTCGTATAATCCACTGTACCCACTATAAAACCCACTTCCCCATCACGGCAACACCAACCCTCGCTCTCGCTATACTCACCTAACTGCCCAAAAAAGGGTCCTGAAAGTAATGCAAAAACAAAATATGCGACAGAGACATCCCTGTCGCAAACCCTCTCCCATCTGTATGCATCTACCTAGTCGTCGCATGAACACTTATTCACATAACTGCACCCAGATACAAAGTTTTTTGCCCAATGAAACAATTATCCCTCCCGAAACCCAAACCAAGCGCATAAAACACCATAATGCATCCCTTTCTTCGCTATCATAATTCAGCTCTCCAATCCAGAAGCCAAACAGAACTCCCCCTCTAACACCCCCCTCCCCCCTCCCCCCTCCCCACTATGCTCTATAAAACTCCTAATAGCTCCATGCCCTTTCATAACATTGATCTATCCCGGTATGCCATATTGTCCTACTATCAATTACTTTAAACCCAAAAACCTGATTGATTCTGTCTCCTAATACCCTTGCAAATAACTTATAATCACTGCACATAAGCGATATTGCACGTGTAATCTTCTACCGTGTCTGTCCACCCTTTGGGCAACTAATACAACAACACATTTTCTTTGCTGCTTCACTACCAATGCCCCAGTCTTCCTTCATTACATTGAACAAATCCTCACTAAAAATCTCCTCAATACATTCCCAGTCTTCTAACATAAAAATCATTAAGTCAACCCTTCTACACCCGTTGCCCCGTTATAACCTAACTCTTTGCACCTACAATAGCTCACCAAATTCCCCTCTGATAAACAGTCCTATCCAAAGTTCCCTATCACTATCCATCAAGCACCCGCATTGCACATAACCAACCCATTTCTCCTTAAAAGCATCATCTCGTATAACCCACAGTGTTGTGCAATATGAACCTAAACCATTTGCATCAATAATCCACTCATACCGTTCATGAGTCGACATCCATACCTCCCTTCCCTATACCTCGTACCCTGCCATCCCCCACTTGAACTGTTAATCCCATGCATCTTCATCCCGTGTCTTCCCTCCTCTTCTGCATCCCCTGTAACGCACCCTGCCGAAGGCCGATCCCCGAAAGAACCTCCACCAACCCTCCAGCCACAAAACGTGGCACCAATCAACTCGTATCATTTATGCAAGACCCTTATACGATGCTTTAAATCCTCTATTTCCTCCCAGTGTATCTCTCACCATCCACCACATAACAATTGGCGTAACTGTCCTTCTAAATACCCCCTGTAGATCCCCATATAAAAATTGATTAACTTTCCCTCCCCAAGCCGAACATAGTAATCCCAATACGTTTCTTAGCCACCACATCCCACCACCTAACCAAGTCTCTAACCCCAGGAGCCCCTGCTAACAAGGACCCACCCAAAAAACATCTCAAAAAGATTCCTATACTCCTCCCCTTATTTAAATAACAATTTAACATTCAATTTCCAATAACTACAACCCCTCTTAGTAATCCCTCCCACCCTGCGTCACACAGACTCCTCTATGATACAGAAACACCACATCTAAAACACACGCACACGAATAACTTACTATGGTGCTTGACACGTACACTCTAATCAAGTCCCGGCCGTGCCTATCACGACTTACAAAAGTATGCTCAACCTCTCTCTCCTACCCCCCCCCACCACGGTCCTTAACATCCCACCCCTGACATTAAAATCTCCCAATACCCCTGAAAAGTACCCACTTCCCCCCGAGGTTCTACATCCTTACGCCGGATCACCGCAATTCCAATCAATCCGCCGCCTACAATAGCTACTCAGGGAGTGACCACCTCAAATAATAAATTAAAACACCTCTTTCACAAAGGTTGCTTTTACACATGCCCAAACATATCTCAGCTGGACCATACACACACACAAAAGTCCACCTTCACCCTCCCCATAGCCCTTCCACCCTATTATCCTCCCCTCCCCCCCTTCACGTACGTCCCCCTCACAACAAACGGCTAGTCTCCCTGATCATGATGGCAAACGCCACCATTCACCCAATTGCATTCTCTCATGTACACATTATATCCTTCTATCGCCGCAATTCACTACCACTAAATTGAATTGAGTTCCAGTATGAACACACGTTCTACATTATTACGCACCAATAAATCACGTAACATGCACACATTCGTACCAGATCGTAAACCATTAAAGTTTATTGTGAGCACTTAAAATCGACATGATGGTTTTCCTTTCACACGAATGTTTTTTGCACTAGATTTTTTGTTTCCAATTTTTTCCCCTTCCCTCCTTTTGAAGCACTCCTAATACATCCCGCTTTGCTTTGGGTACACAGGACCCTTTCTGTGCCACATGCCGCCCATGATGTTCTAGTTTTCTTCCCCTGAGTCTTTGGGCTGGCGTTTAACGACATCATCAGAATCTGAAAGTGTAACAGAGCGCTTTTCGTGTTTTTACACTTTCTAACCTGCAATTTTCGTCCGTCCAACAGTGCAATCCAGGGTGAATATTCACAACTCCACCGTTTTGTTTCAGCAAGGCGTCAGTGGCTGTCCACTACCAGCTGCACTCGTCGAGTGATCCGTGACGTATAGCGTGTGCGCCGTCGTCAGCACTGTCCCCAAGTCTAGGATGGTTGCCTGTGTCGCAGGACTCCATGGCTTGTCCCCGTAAATAAATTCATCCTAACACCAGAGCAATGTAAGTCTCCAATCATTGCCCTGCTCTTCTCGCGGAAGCCGTGTTCCACCTCTGGGGCAGCATCCAGAAGGAGGCTACACAGTTCCGGAAGTGTAGCACACAACCGTGTTCAGAGACCTCTCAACCTCTTCGCTCCAAGACAATCTTGAGGGTTGCACAGCGCTTCATGCACATCTTGCCTTATAATACCATCCTCCCCTAAATCCTGCTCTGTTGTACAACCCTGGCAATCCTTCTGTCTCCTTTCACACTGCAACCGCCAAATGATCGAATGCTCCAACACAACCTACAAGTGCGGCGTTGCCCTGCATAAGTCACAAAAACTTGAGTCCTGATGTCTTGCATTATCACTAGAAGGGATTGGATGTCCGTAATGTCATTTTATACTTACCGAAAAAAGTCCCCTCATGTAGTCTTCATATGGGCCCCATCATGCCACCTCCCTGCTGAGCCATGATGTATGTGCCGTAATACTCAGGGCACACGTATATCATCCATCCAGCCTCAAAGTGTAACATTTCTCACTTTTAAAAACCCATGTAAATGGGCGGGATACATCGTGTAGATCACAGACACACAGTCTGGTTAACCACCAGATTGACCTCATTGATCCTTTCGACAAACATCCGAAAACTGAGCTGACTAAAACTTTACAAAGATTCTTTGTCACACCATTCATTCCTACACCGCACAAATCCTCGTTCGGCGAAACCATAGTGCTTCTCGGGATGATATCGTGCTGTGCAATAGTAATCGCCATTGATGTTCCAAGCAACTGCCCCACGAAGTTTAATTCCAAACACACAGAGTTGACCGGCGTCGCAGGGCTGCTGGCCATGTTGAGAAAATGAAAACTGCCACCCAACAGGCTATAGAGGGCACAGTGTAGGAAACGGTCCACTTCTACTCAAAGAGCTGTAGAGAACGTATTTAACTGACTACCGAGGACATCACCTCCAAGCCGTTAACAAGTTTCTGAGACTACATGGCCAAGTATCTAGGCATGTACCAATTCAGCCGCAGACATTTTATGTCCCATCTTTTGTAGAAAGCTCCATCCAGGTTTTTTCTAATGAAAGCAGCTTTGATGTTATCCTCTTTTAATACCCTTGTGATTTCAGTCCACAGATTTTATCCTTCATTTGGGCATACCCCAGCTGTTGCAAGCCGTGCTGGTGGACTATTCAATGGACAATGATGTGGCCCAGTTTTAGACAAATCGTAAAGGAATCGGAGGTACAGAGCTCTATGACAGATTTGTTGTGCGACAGAGGTCCAGTACTCTCAGCTGGTCAGTGGCATTAAAATAGAAGGTAAGTAACCCCGGAAAAGGGACTTGCTACCTCAAGTCTAATGGAAGGGGATTCCCCTTCTAAACAGTAAGAAGATAAATGCTCTTCCCCTCCTCCCTTACCCCCTAGTAACTACTCTCTAAGACTCCCTTACCTCTAGTAATAGTCTAATTAGAAAAAATACACGACTAAACGATGTCACAACAAAAACATGTTCTGCATCTGTCTTACTCAATCTCCTTCACACTTTCCCACTCCCTAGCACTCTCCCTTACCCCTAGTAACTACTCTCTAAGACTCCCTTACCTCTAGTAACTACTCCCTAACACTCTCCCTTATCCCCAGTAACTACTCTCTCATCCCCAGTAACTACGTGTTGAAGATGGCAGACAACATTGATGACGGTATCGGTGTCCCTGACTGGCGACTGAGCCTGTGTCTCCTCTTCTCCTGGGCAGTGTTGTTCTTCACGTTGGCCAAGGGAGTCCAGTCCTCAGGAAAGGTACGTCTGTGATTGATTAACATGAGTTGGTGTTTTCTTATTTTCAAGTTCATTTCCTTGTATTCTTTGGCCTTTTGTTTGTCTCGTCTTATTTGCTTCGTACCTGGAGAGGGTAAGCCAGCAGCACTGTGAGTGCTGGTGAGGCCTAAGTTCATTAATATTCATCAGTCAACACGTTTGGTCACTGACTACACACGCCACAGTGCTCATCACCGGATAGCATTACACATCTCCGCTTCATTATCACACAAACGTCCTCCATCTTTCACTGTACCCTTATTATCGCTCACTTGATGTCATTGTCACAGCCCTTCACTGCACTGCTGGACACTATTCTAGAAACACGTATCAAACACCCTTCGTCTGCTCCATCCTTGGACTTAACTCGGTTTCTGACTGATTTCCTCATTGGCTGACCAATCTCGGCGTTTTCTTCGGTCTTAAATAATGTGTTCCCTATGAAAACATTCATATCCTGATTGATAACTCTGCCGCAAGGTTGGCGGCAGCCGTCTCTCGGCAGCCAGGGTTGGCTGGTTGGTTGATAGATTTAGAAGACATCAACTTCACAAGGGTAACGTTCACGTGTGACCTTTAACCAACAGGCTATGATATTATAACCGCTTCCTTAAGTAGGTATTAGGTATGTCAGGAAACAGGGCAAGTGTTTCCTTGACGCGGGTCTTAGTCATATGATGACCCCAATGGCAATAAGTCACTCTGTCTGACTTTTTTGGCCCGGTGGCCTGGTGGCTGGTGGCCCGGTGGCCTGGTGGCTGGTGGCCTGGTGGCTAAAGCTCCCGCTTCACACACGGAGGGCCCGGGTTCGATTCCCGGCGGGTGGAAACATTTCGACACGTTTCCTTACACCTATTGTCCTGTTCACCTAGCGGCAAATAGGTACCTGGGTGTTAGTTGACTGGTGTGGGTCGCATCCTGGGGGACAAGATTGAGGACTCCAATGGAAATAAGTTAGACAGTCCTCGATGACGCACTGATTTTCTTAGGTTACCTGGAGTTTACCTGGAGAGAGTTCCGGGGGTCAACGCCCCAGCAGCCCGGTCTGTGACCAGGCCTCCTGGTGGATCAGAGCCTGATCAACCAGGCTGTTGCTGCTGGCTGCACGCAAACCAACGTACGAGCCACAGCCCGGCTGGTCAGGAACAGACTTTAAGTGCTTGTCCAATGCCAGCTTGAAGACTGCCAGGGGTCTGTTGGTAATCCCCCTTATGTATGCTGGGAGGCAGATGAACAGTCTCGGGCCCCTGACACTTATTGTATGGTCTCTTAACGTGCTAGTGACACCCCTGCTTTTCATTGGGTGGATGTTGCATCGTTTGCCAAGTCTTTTGCTTTCGTAGTGAGTGATTTTCGTGTGCAAGTTCGGTACTACTCCCTCTAGGATTTTCCAGGTGTATATAATCATGTATCTCTCCCGCCTGCGTTCCAGGGAATACAGGTTTAGGAACCTCAAGCACTCCCAGTAATTGAGGTGTTTTATCTCCGTTATGCGCGCCGTGAAGGTTCTCTGTACATTTTCTAGGTCAGCAATTTCACCTCCCTTGAAAGGTGCTGTTAGTGTGCAGCAATATTCCAGCCTAGATAGAACAAGTGACCTGAAGAGTGTCATCATGGGCTTGGCCTCCCTAGTTATGAAGGTTCTCATTATCCATCCTGTCATTTTTCTAGCAGATGCGATTGATACAATGTTATGGTCCTTGAAGGCGAGATCCTCCGACATGATCACTCCCAGGTCTTTGACGTTGGTGTTTCGCTCTATTTTGTGGCCAGAATTTGTTTTGTACTCTGAAGAAGATTTAATTTCCTCGTGTTTACCATATCTGAGTAATTGAAATTTCTCATTGTTGAACTTCATATTGTTTTATGCAGCCCACTGAAAGATTTGGTTGATGTCCGCCTGGAGCCTTGCAGTGTCTGCAAGGGAAAAGACACTGTCATGCAGATTCGGGTGTCATCTGCAAAGGAAGACACGGTGCTATGGCTGACATCCTTGTCTATGTCGGATATGAGGATGAGGAACAAGATGGGAGCGAGTACTGTGCCTTGTGGAACAGAGCTTTTCACCGTAGCTGCCTCGGACTTTACTCTGTTGACGACTACTCTCTGTGTTCTGTTAGTGAGGAAAATTATAGATCCATCGACCGAATTTTCCTGTTATTCCCTTTAGCACGCATTTTGTGCGATATTACGCCATGGTCACACTTGTCGAAGGCTTTGGCAAAGTCTGTATATATTACATCTGCATTCTTTGTGTCTTCTAGTGCATCTAGGACCTTGTCGTAGTGATCCAATAGTTGAGACAGACAGGAGCGACCTGTTCTAAACCCATGTTGCCCTGGGTTGTGTAACTGATGGGTTTCTAGATGGGTGGTGATCTTGCTTCTTAGGACCCTTTCAAGATTTTTATGATATGCGATGTTAGTGCTATCGGTCTGTAGTTTCTTTGCTGTTTTTTACTGCCCCCTTTGTGGAGTGGGGCTATGTTTGTTGTTTTTAGCAACTGTGGGACGACCCCCGTGTCCATGCTCCCTCTCCATAGATGGAAAAGGCTCGTGATAGGGGCTTCTTTGAGTTCTTGTATGAACACGGAGTTCCATGAGTCTGGCCTGGGGCAAAGTGCATGGGCATGTCATTTATCGCCTGTTCGAAGTCATTTGGCATCAGGATAACATCGGATAGGCTTGTGTTAACCAAATTCTGTGGCTCTCTGATAAAAATTCATTTGATCTTCGACTCTCAGTCTGGTTAGCGGCTTGCTAAGAACTGAGTCATATTGGGACTTGAGTAGCTCACTCATTTCCTTGCTGTCATCTGTGTAGGACCCATCTTGTTTAAGTAGGGGCCCAATACTGACGTTGTTCTCGACTTTGATTTGGCATAGGAGAAGAAATACTTTGGGTTTCTTTCGATTTCATTTATGGCTTTTACTTCTTCCCGCGATTCCTGACTCCTATAAGATTCCTTTAGCTTAAGTTCGATGCTTGCTATTTCTCTGACCAGTGTCTCCCTACGCATTTCAGATATATTGACCTCTTTTAGCCGCTCTGTTATTCTTTTTCCGTCGCCTGTAAAGGGAGCGCCTGTCTCTTTCTATTTTACATCTACTCCCCCTTTTTTCTTAGAAGAATAAGCCTTGTGCATACATCGAGTGCCACCAAGTTAATCTGTTCTAGGCATAAGTTGGGGTCTGTGTTGCTTAGTATATCTTCCCAGCTTATATCGGTTAGGACTTGGTTTACTTGGTCCCACTTTATGTTTTTGTTATTGAAGTTGAATTTGGTGAATGCTCCCTCGTGACTAATCTCATTATGTCGGTCTGGGGCTCCATGCATACATGTCTGAACCTCAATTATGTTGTGATCTGAGTATATTGTTTTTTATATGGTGACATTTCTTATCAGATCATCATTGTTAGTGAAGATGAGGTCTAGTGTATTCTCCAGTCTAGTAGGCTCTATTATTTGCCGAGTTTAAATTGAATTTTGTGCAGAGATTTAAAAGCTCGTGTGAGTGTGAGTTTTCATCAGAGCTGCCTCCTGGTGTTATTACTGCAACAGTATTATTTGCTATATTCCTCCATTTTAGGTGCCTTAAGTTGAAATCCCCCAGGAGCAAGATGTTGGGTGCAGGAGCTGGAAGATTTTCCAGACAGTGGTCAATTTTTAACAGCTGTTCCTGGAATTGCTGGGATTTTTGCATCCGGAGGCTTGTAGACTACCACAATGACTAGGTTTTGGTTCTCGACCTTTACTGCTAAAACTTCCACTACATCATTTGAGGCATTAAGCAGTTCTGTTCAAACAAGTGACTGCAATGTACAGGCCAACATCCCCCCCTTTTGCCTGTTCACTCTGTCACATCTGTATAGGTTGTAACCTGGGATCCATATTTCGTTGTCCAAGTGATCCTTTATGTGGGTCTCAGTGAAAGCCGTGAACATTGCCTTTGCCTTTGCATGCAGTCCACGGATGAAAGGTATTTTGTTGTTTGTTGCTGGCTTTAGACCCTGTATATTTGCAAAGAAGAATGTCATCGGACTGGTGGTATTGTTGGTACTGGGGGGAGATTTTTTTCCGGCATTAGTATCTGTAGGTTTGGAGTGGAGGCCATCGACTGTGGTTCCACTCCAGGAATGACTGGATTTGGTGCACGATTTCTGCCATTTCCTGCCAGTTTTTTTCCTTCCTGGCACTAAAAAACCTCTCCCTCTTGATTAGATTTTTTAGATTTTGCCACCGAAGTGGCTAGTTTATTGTGCACCCCATATCCATCCTGTGGACGGTAGCGCGAGAGCATGTGGATACACAAAAGGCCTAGGAACTAGGCCCCAAAGGGTTAACAGGAATACATATGGATTTATATCTACATATCTATAGTTCACTTATCTGTTACAAGCAAATTTAGGAAATTTGCTTAGTATATCTGGTATCTTATTTTCATTAATAAGATATCTTGACATGTCACATAGGTTATTATACTGTCTGTCTCTGTATTCCTCAATAAGTGGACAATTAAGCACATAGTGTTCAAGACAGTGACCATATGCCGATCACATAATTTACATTTAGTTTGATCATCTGTGTGTCTCCCAAACTGCCAGAAGTACTTGTAACCAAGCCTAAGCCTGGCCACTCTTGAGTGGCTGTGGCTACCCAGGTTTTCCCATGGCCTGGATGTTTTGTATCTTTTTGTCCCCTTTAGATGGTGTGCCTGGCAATTTAAGTTATAGCACAGTCTTTCCTGTACTGAAGAGGTACACATTTCAGGGTGAAAAAGCTTACAGGAAGGGAGTTTGCATTTTCCTGTTGTCATATGGGTGTCAGTGGAACGCCTTCCAACTGAACAAAAGAAACTAATGGAAAAATAAATAAAGAAATGATTTAGGAAAAAGAAAAATGATTTTTGAGAATTTTACTTAAAATTTAAATATAATAAAAAAAAAATGGCCTTTAGTTTCTTGTAGTTGGGTAGGAGTAGGT